AGAGGGAAAGGCCAGGCAATACTCAGGCAGGGAGGCAGCAGGGCAGATGGAAAGGGTCCATGGATCTCTGAGAGCAATGGCAGGGCATACAGTCCTTTTCCAAGAATATAGTGGGTTCCGGGTTAGAGGAGAGCAGGGTTCTGGAATATCTCCAGCATAGGTGGGCTCTGGAGGGGTAGGGGTCACCATCCATTTGTTAGTGGTCATCCTATGCCCTGTGGGGCAATGAGGGTTAGCTGGGGAAGGGATGGATCTGTGGCCCCCATGGCTGGCAGGAGGTGTTGCTGCTACTGCCTAGCAGAACATTGGGGCCTGGAGGTGGCTGAATCCAGGCTGACAAGAGATTCTTTTTGCCATTTTCCTATGACTTTTTTGTCTTTGATCTCTGGCTTTGGAAACAAAAAGACAAAAGGTAAATATAACCTGCAATTTTTCCATGCATGATAACTACTGCTTAGATGGACTAACTGTGCCTAATATAGCCTCATTCTTTAAGGAGACTGGGAAGAGAAATACAAACACGGGCACAGCCTGTAAGTGTGGATATTAGTCACAACTCAGGTGGACTCATGCCAAAAGATTGTAACAATCATTTCCCTCCCTTTGTGGGCTGTGGGACGGCCAATGGCCACTTCCAAGACACCCCAGTGAAGCTGAGAGGGCCAGGCTGTTGGTTTTGTATACAGAGGCTATCGTCGGGGAGCCAGGCTCTGCCGAGAGCTCAGCACAGCAGGGGGCCAGTGCAGGCAGCAGGCGTGGAGGGCCTCTGAGAGGGGTATTCTGATCCCTCCTTCCAAGGCCTGCTTCTGATACAGTGCCCAGGATTCTTAGACCTTTCACCTGTGCTCTGGGATACTTCTGTGTAACGGTGTGACTGTGACGTCAACACTGGACCCGCCAAGACTCTGGCCAATTGTGCATTTTACTTCTTCTCATTTTCCCCCCTTCTTTTAAAGTCAGGGCTTTCCTAGTCAGTTGTGCTGTGAGCTGTGATGTACAGATGAGCCTTTCGCTGGATCTTTAAGAATGGAAGCTCAAAGGAAATCATGCAATTTTCAGCTGTTCGTCCCTCTTCAAAGGCATTATTAGCCTCCTATATATGTGCAGGGTTTTGTTGTTCAGTTGTTTCAGTCATCCCATTTCAGGTTTTCTTGACAAAGATACTAGAGTTTTGCCATTTCCTTCTCCAGCTCATTTTACAGATGAGGAAACTGGGGCAAACAGGGTTAAGTGACTTGCCCAGGGTTACACAGCTAGTAAGTATTTGAGGCTGGATATGAACTCAGTTCTTCCTGACTCCAGGCCTAACACTCTATCCACTTAGCTGTCCCAATAATAAAAATAGAATACACACACACACACACACACACACACGCACACACATATTTCAACAACCATATAGTAACTCACAATTTTATGATAGGCAGCACATATATATATATATATATACACACATGCATATACACACACATATTTATCAACAAACACATACTAACTCACATTTTTATGATAGGCAGCACAGCACAGTGGACAGAGAACTGGGTTTAAGTCCTGCCTCTGACATACACTGCCAGTGTAAACTTGGGCCAGGCAACTCTCTATAACTTATCTAATTTGCAGAGAAGATAATGACCAGCATTTAGAGAAGAAGTTCCTCACAAAAAGGAGGAGCAGGGGCCCTGTGGCCCCCTACATCAATGAAATCACTGACCCAAGCCCTAGCCCTCTCACTTTTCTAGAACACTTTAAAGTTTACAGGATAATCTCTTTATAACAATCTCGCAAGGTAGAGTACAGATACTATCATTCTCATTATTACCTCCATTTTACAGATGAGGAAAGTGAAGCAACTGCTCCAGGTTCATGTGACTACTAAGAGTTGGATCTGAGACTCAAACCCATGTTTCCTGACGCTGGGTCCGGGGCTCTTTCCACCACACCAAGCTGCCTCTATCTTTTGTACAAAAATGAACTATTGTTACATACAGACACACAGACCTCAGCACTAGAAAGTAAGAACCTTGGAGTCTCTCCAGTTCAACCTATAACCATGAACCCTCTCTACAAATCCCCCCCAAAGTAGCCACCAGCCTTTAATGGAAGACCTTGAGTGATGGTGTCTTCCACCACAACTCCCAAAGCAGCTTTAGGACCACTTGAATCATTAGAAAGACTTTCCTTATGTGGAGTCCAAATCTGCCACTTTGCAATTTCCAACAGCTTCAGTCTTGCCTTCTGGGGCTAAGCAAAACAAGCCTAATTCTTCTACCTGAGAGCCATCCAAGTATTTGAAACAAGCTACAGTGTCACCCTCACCTCTCAGGTCTTGGCCTCTCCAGGTCAAAAGCAAGAGGAGGAGGCAGAGGGACAAGTGTTTGTTAAGTGCCTACTTAGTTCATTTGATCCTCACAACACCCCGAGGAAGAAGGTGCTTTTATTATCCTTATTTTACAGATGAAGCAACTGAGACAGACAGAGGTTAAGTGGCTTGCTCAAGGTCACACAACTAGTAAGTGTCTGAGGCCAGATTTGAACTTGGGTCTTCCTAACTGTAGGCCCAGCATTCTATCCACTGTACTACCTGGTTCCAAGGTTAAACAGGTAAACATCCTCCAAGTCCCTTCAACTGATCCTTTACTCTTCGTACCATCCTGATCCCCCTCTACTGAATAGTTTTCCACATTCTCTATGACTTTCCTAAAATGGGAAACCTAGAAACGAATGCAAAACTCCACATGTTATCTCACTAGAGTAGAGTTAGACAACTATTACCTTCCTAATCCTGGACAACTATAACTCTGAATACAGCCTAAGATTCCACTGGCCTTTCTGGCTGCCATATTGTACTCCTGACCCATAAGAACTTGTGGTCCACTCAAACAGAAAACCTTTTTCAAATGAACTATTATTTGGTCCCACTTCCCCTAGCTTGTAAATGTGGACTGTTGTTTCTTTAACCCAGTAAAAGAATTTTACTTTTACGGTTCTTAAATTCCATTTCTATTTATCCCTATTATGTTGTTTATTCCTGTTAAATTTATCTCAACATAAATCTCTATTAAGTCTAATAAGAATTAAGTTCTTAGTAGGTTCAACTCATCTTTCTGACCAGTTGATATCTTTTTGGATCATACATCCTTTGTTCAACGTGTTAGCTATCTCTGCTACCCTCTTGCAGTGGGAAATTTGACAAATCTACAATCTATGCCTTTACCCAAGTCACTGATACAGATTTTAAACAGCCCAACAAATCCTCAGTACATTTCATTAGAGACCTTTCTTCAAGCTTTTTTCCTCAACAGTGTTAAAATACAGACATATCTATTATATGTAGGTATAGATATATTATAGATATACCTATGTATAGGTATATCTAGATAGAGATACAGCTATTATAAGTATTTTATCTATATAATATCTATATACAGATATAGATATCCAAAGTCAGAGATCAAAGACAAGTATATATATAAAATCTATAGATCATATCTATATAGATATATGTTATATCTATATAGATCATATCCATATAGATATATATCTAGATATATAAAAGATATATCTAGGCCCTGATTAGGTTAAATAATGAGTCCTATGAAGTAGTCGAATTGGCTTCAAACTCAAAGTATTTGAAGTGATGATTATATAAAACATGGTCATTGGTTCCAGCCCAGTGGAAATCTGCACTGCAAACTGGAAGTAATGAGACCAGTTTATGGATTCCACTACTGGAATTAATCAGGGGGGACCTAACTGTAAATAAAATCTTTTAACATTCCTTGGCAGCTTCAGCTCATTTTAAGTTTTCATACTTCTAACACCTGTACAAGTTTCTTCCAAGTCTGTCAGCCTTTCCTTCCTTTTATCTTCTGTACACATCTACTAAAAACCTAAATTAGTAATTGAGTTTCCTGTGCATCCACATCTGTCTTCTTAGGCAACAAACACATCTTTTTTCTCCTCATCTCAATTATATGTTTACGTCTTCAGATTTTCATTCTTAAGGGCTTCTAACCCCACCAAGGCTGATGTTCTTGTACAGAATTGTAGTCTGTGGGATTCTACCTATCCTCATCTGATCTCTGTGAAATCCACTCTCCCAAATTCTAAGATGCATGCCAGATTATGTCTATTTTCCTCTACTGTAAATTCTAAGATGGAGGTGGCATTCCCTACCAAAATTTCCATTACTCCTATTTCAGCAATAAAGTCCACATAATCCCAATCCCAATCTCTTTCTCCCCCTTACATACACACACACAAACACACAAACACACACACACACACACACACACAAAAATGGTCCATTTGAACTCTGAACTAGAATCCTAGAATCTGAGGGTACCTTAAAGATTTTCTGTCACAACCTACACTTGAACCAGAACCCTCTCTACAAGCCATTAATATGAAGAGAAGGAAAATTGTTATCATTTAAAAACAGGTTTGACTTCAGAACTCTGATCAAATGTATCACCTGCTCTTGACTCCACAGAAGTGGTTGTAAAACAAAATCCCAAACCTCTTGGAAGAGGAGTGGTCATCTACAGATGTGGAAAGAGTGGTACCTTGTCAGACACAGCCATGGTTTATTTTTCTTAATAATATACGACTGTAAGGATTTATTTTTCTTAATTAGATATCTTTGCTATGGGGTGGAAGGGAAGGTAGAGAAAGATTACCAAGAAATGACAGCATTGGGGGGGAAAAAAATCAAACTTCTTTTTATAAAAAGTTTTTTTAAAAATGAATGTTAAAAACTGTTTTTACATGTAACTGGGGAAAAGTAAAATGTTATTTAAAAAAATTTTTTTCAAGTTAAAACAAAAACCTCCTAAGTCAATAAAAGAAGATAGCTTGGTCCATCACTGGCTTTAGGTAGGGTAGACGGCTTTGTGACCCCTAAATCATAAGAAGCCCAACACTTACTGTCAGGAACGGGTGCCTTGAGTTCTGCAAGACTCGGTTCTCCGTAAGCGTATGTGCCACCTCATCCTGCAAGACAAGACCCAAAGATGGGCATCACTCTGTGTCTCTAAACCTCCTCCCCTCCCCCACAGACCAAGTGACTGAGGCTAATGGCCCCGGGACTGGCCACTTCCAAGCCCCGTCTGGGCTCACCTTGGCCACGATCACTTCCTTCTTGAGGATCTTCATGGCATAGTATCTCCCGGTCGCCTTCTCCTTCACGAGGATCACCTTCCCAAATGTGCCTTTGCCCAGCAGCTTCAGGTATTCAAATTCATTCATTGTCTGGAAAGGCATTTCAGACGGGCACAGAGTCAGCACCGGCTAAGCAGGAAGGCGTGCACTCAGGGGGCTTCTGTTTTAAGATGTAACACAGCCTCGCACCACAACTAAAAATATTTCTAGAGAGAAAGCCAGGTGGCAAAGCCACAGTTCTTCCCTTGGAAAGTACTCTTGGTGTATCAAGGACAAGACAAGGGCCCCTGCTGGCCCTGATATACCCTTCGCTGCACCAGGCAGATCTCTCTCCAAAGACCAGAGCTGCTCCAGTAGCCCAGAAGCTTTTCCACGGGAGCCCAAGAGTAAAGGGGTGCCAGAGAGCTTTCCCCAACATGATTTAACCAAATAATAAACAAGTTAAAATTCAAAATTTTTAAATGAGGCTGGAGAAGAAAGCAAGAGGGGGGGATGAAGACAGAGTCTTCAAAGTCATAGTGCTCACATATGCCACCAAGAACATGACCTAGACATACAACAATAGCCATTGTTGACTTTTCAAAGTCGTCCCTGCCCCAAGCCCCTCGGGGGCAAGAACAGCACCGCAGAACAGGGCAAGGCTTGCCGGGAAATGGGAGCTCATTCATCCCAGATGGCCCTTCCTCACCACTTTGTGTTTGGGCTTTGTCGTAGACACCTCCATCTCCTCGGCCCCGGAATTGTCACTCGGTGAGCCTGACCGGAAGTCCATCAGTTCTTCCTCTTGCTTTTTCAGGCTGTCAGCCACCATCTGTATGGCTTTGGTCCATTCTTCCCTGAAAGGGGTCATGGAAGGTGGGGGTCAGGCCAGGCCTTCCTCACCCACTGCCCCGACAGGGCAATACCTCTCCCAGCCCCAGATACTGCCCAAGTAAGAAGGAATTCTGCTAATCATTGATCATGTGTTCTCTCTGCTTGACCCCTCTGGATTTTGGCAGTATTCATTCATTTATTCAATAACAATAAATCACAGCTAACAGTTACGTAGTGCTTAAAAGTCCTCAAAACACTTTACTTATATTATTTCATTTGATCTTCACAGCAAATAGGTAATTAATGCTGGCTGAGTGCTAGGCTATTTGTGGGGTGCTACTGATGAAGAGGCCACAATCACAGAATGGCAGAATCTCAGAGTTACACCAGATCTTAAAGGTCAGCCCAATCTATACCTGAGCCAGAATCTCCTTTATGACTTCCTGCGATGGGAAATTCTCTACCCCAAGACAGCTCCTTGCACTTTCAGACAGTTCTAAATATCAGAGACTTTTATTTCTATTGACCTGATATAAAGAGGATATAGGCCCTGCTTCTGAAAGGCCCAGTTTGTATCAGAGGAAGAAAGACACATATATACAGATGAAATGTAATACAAATAAGATCGTGGTGAAGAGAAATACAGAGTGTTCTGGAATCTAATTAGAAAGTGATTGCTCCCAGACTGGGGTCAGGGCAAACATGATTGGCTCTGGCTCTCAAATTTTCCTCAAGATGGATTTGTTCTATTGGGGCTCCGGAAGGTAGGGCTGGGGTCAACGGTAGGGAAAGAAGAATAGGAAGTGAGCTTTCTGCCACTGCAGGTGTTTGAGCAAAAACTGGATGACCGCCTGCCAGGGATGGTGCAGAGGGGACTTCTATGCTGGCAGAACAATGTCCCCAGGCAGAAAGGGCCCTGTACTAAGACTCAGGGCGTCTGGAGTCTAGTCCCAATTCAACTACTACCTTGCTGTGTAACCTCAAGTGAAGTCCCTTCTTTTCTCTGGGACTCAATTTCCTCATCTGTAAATTGGGGCAGCCCTTTGGGGGCTTATGGTGAAAAGGGGAAGAAGAATTATACCAGTGGACCCCCTGAGATAGACCAGTCCTAAAAAACATTCACTTCATGAGGCTTGTCAGCCCCTGTAGAATCAGAGGCTCAAATCAGGATCAGAATTGGGAAGGTCTTGTTAAAGACCCCAAGGAGAAAAGGAGAGAAGGAGAAAAAACCAAGCCCAGACATGACTTGCCCAAGGTGACACAGGTAATACCCTGGTATGAGAACCCAGGCACTCTGACTCAAGATCTGGAACTTTTTATAACATACCTCTCTCCTTTCTTCCCCCTTCTCCCCCTTCCCATCTGTCTCCGGGAGGGGTTTCTCTATTAAACATGAATGAAACATACCGCTCCTCGGGGGTCTCCACGTGAAACGTTCTCTCAATGACCGTGGTCCACTGCAGGCAGCGGATGATGAATGTATTGGGTTTGGGTCGCTCTGTCTTCATCAGCTGGCATTCTACCACAGTCAAGGAAAAGAAGTCACGGTATGTAAGCAGGTTTAAATAATCATTTGTCTTTATTCCAATCCCTCAAGCGGCTTCGATTCATCAGCCAGGGAATGTTCCTTGTGCGCTCCTCGGGGAGGCACAGAAACCGTCTGCATGCAGCTCAGGGGAGGGAGAGGCTGAGAAGCCAGAGGACCTCGGCAAACTCCCTGGGTAGAGACCCTTGCCCCCTCTGTGGCTAGGAGGAACTGGGAGCAGGGGCAGGGTGGGCTTTTCAGGTCATACGGCATTCAAAGAAAGGGACCCAAACAGATCGAGGAGAAAAAGCACTAGGTCTCTTGTTGGACCTTAAGTTTTAATTCTGACTCTGCCCCTCAACTAGCTGGGTGATCTTGGGAAAGTCCTTCCCTTCTCTGAGACCCAGCTGCCTTTAGAATCAAACTAAAGAATTGGATTAGGTGACCTCTTACATTCCTTCCAGCACTAAATCCTCTAGTAAGACACACAACCCACCCTGGGTCCTGATAGCGACACCATCTCTCAGTCAGAAATCATTTGGGAAGGGAGGTTCACAGACAGGGCGAGCCACTCAGGAGATTTTACACCAAAAGAATGTTGTAAAACCAGAGATGAGACCTGTTAGCAAGGCAGAGTGGGAAAAAACAACGGAATTTGGAATTGGAAGACCTGGGTTCCGACACCCTGCTCTAAACCTTACCATCCTGTCACCCTGAGTGAGTCTCTTAATCTACCTATGTGAGCCTCAATTTTCTTATCTGTTAATGTGTCTTGTGCTACACTCCCATTTGCCATAAGGTCAGAGATTATATTCATGTTGACACATTGGTCCTTCTGGGTGTGAATACCCAAATGCTGCACCACCCCCTCATCTCCCCAACCCAAGCCACAAACAAGACACTTATACCTCCTAATAACTTGCATACATGTATGACCCTGTTGGCACATACAGGACCCTTGAACATGTAATCGTACACATTTACAGCTGGGGACAAACAGGATAGCTGAGGGGCAGCAGGAAGGAAATGTTGATAGAAGAAGTACTGGCTTTAGAGTCAGGAGGTCTGGGTTCGAATTCTGGCACTGCCTATTAGTTGGTGACTCTGGGCAAGTAATTCCTCTCTCTCCCACCCTAAATGTACCCTCGTCTCCTCACCTCAATGCCTTTGCTATCTCTCATGCCTCACCTGTCTCTTTTCCAGCTGCCTAATTCCTACCCATCTTTCAAATGCTTCCTCTCTCCAGGAAGCCCTCGTCCAATCCTTGAATAAACAGCAATCTCCCTCCTCCCTTCCCCTCACACTGCACTTTGTATGGACCTCTATAATGCACATATCACCCTATTAAACTGTCAGCTCTGTGAGGGTAGGCCCCATATCTGACTGAAAATTCTGATGTTTGCGGCAGTTAGGTGGTGCAGTGGATAGAGCACCGGCCCTGGAGTCAGGAGGACCTGAGTTCAAATCTGACCTCAGACACATAACACTTATGACACATAACAGAGTTCATATCTGGCCTCAGACACATAACACTAGCTGTGTGACCCTGGGCAAGTCACTTAACCCCAATGCCTAACCAAAAAAAAAAAAAGGAAAATTCAGATGTCCTTTAGCTCTCACCCCAGGCATCTGATAGATGATGGAAGCTTCATCTTGGAAGTAGTCTAGTCCAACCTGTACCTGAACAAGGATCCATGAGATGCTCACTGAACTGAATTAATCAGAGTCTTATATTATCCATACTTACCTGAATGGGCAGGTCTACTTTTACTTTAATTTAATCCAAACCCTTATTACTGAAATCACCTACTGGATGCAACATGCCACATGAGAGAAGAGCCTGGTAAATTCTAAAACACCCCAGAAATATAAGCTGTGGTTGCTCCTCTGAACATCTAGCCCCTCTAAACACTAGAAGGATAAAATGTTATGGGAAGGGGAGGAGAGAGAGAAGGAGAGGGTCTCTACCACACACAAAGGAGCCTGGAAGGAATCTGGGAACCAAAGCATTCCTCACCTGCCCTTAATTCCTATACAGACTCACCCCACCACATGATGTCCAGGAAAGGGGGTCAGGGAGAGAAGCTTTTTGAATAAATTAAAATTCCAAGATTTTTAACACACCCTCCCCTCACAGGATCAGAACCTGGGAGGGAAACTCTTGAGGGCTCAGGACGGGGGCCCTGCCTGGGAAATCCAGGCTGTCTGCAGAGAATGTCTGGAATTCCATCTCAAGCACTAGCAACCAGGCAGGTTAGGGGCTTTTCAGGGCATGGGAACTGACCTTCCAGAGGGGCCCCTAGGGTCAGGGGCACACATCAGATACTGAACAATCTCAGCAGTGAAATATCCGCTCCCTGCTTGCCCTTCAGAGCCTGCCTGGTTCCCCAGCTCAACCAGCTGCCTTAGGGATCACAGATGAGCCAGGAAATGAACTGAGAACTCACTGCACAGAGTAGAACCAATCTGGGCAGCAGACAAGAGTCACAAGCTCACTACAATGCCCACCCCCACCCCAACCCCCCAGGAGCGGGGAGGAGGGGCGGGGATGGATAGAATGAAAGAAGGAACATCACGAGGGCTGACTCAATTTCTGTAGTTACCAAGCACACTCTCTTCAAACTGCACATTGTTAAAAATCTCTCTGGCTGCCTCTTCAAAATCCAAGCAGACTGTCCTTCTATCATCAAATCCTACCCATTGGTTCAGGCTGCACTCTGGTGGCCCCCTCCTCCAGGACACCATCTTTGACTGCTACCTCAAACATCCTGCTTGCATTTCCTAAAAACTCTGTTATTTGTGACTTCCTCAAATCTCCTGGCAAGCATGAACTCTCTAAGGGCAGGGGGCTTCAATCTGAACTTTTCTATATTCCCTCCCTATCCCCAACAGAATGGAGCACAGAACTGGGCACTGAAAAGAAGAGCTTAATGACTTGCCCAATTAAGCACTTACTTTGTGCCTACTATGAGCCTGGCACTTCAGCAGCTGAGACAAAAAATGGAATGTAATTAAGCCAGCTCTGGGGAGCTCAGGATGTGGTTGGGGAAGTTATATCTGAGAAGGAAAAAAAAGGTAACACTATGGGGCAATCTATGATTAGGTAGGAACTCAAGGCATGAGTATCAGAGTAAGAGCTGCGGGAGCTCCCAGGAAGCAGTGGACCCTGTGCACTGCTAGGGTCAGAGAAGGTTTCAGAGAGGAAGCATGATTTAAGCAGGGCCTTGGAAGAAGGGGAAGATCTAGGCTAAGAGCAAGGACCCCCAAGTTGCTCCTGGGCATTTACTAGGTCATTTCCCCCTGTACTCAGAATGGAAGTGGAAAGAGAACAACCTCAATGCCAGGAGTCTCCAGGTCATGCAGAGAAGAGGTTACAGAGGAAGGTTCTCAGCTCTGGATCCTGGGGCTCTGACCAACAGCAGCTCAGGGCCAAATGAAATGAGCTCTTCTGTCAGTCGGACCAAGAGGCAGGATTGTAGAAACACAGCATTCGGAGGAGGAAAGGACCTTAATCATTGAGTCTAACCCCTCTTGCCTGAACTACCCTCAACAGCCTTCTAATTGGTCTCCTTCCCTCAGGCCTTTCCCCCCTTTGTCCTACCCATCCTCCGTACACTTGACAAACTAATATTCTCCAAATACAGATCAACCACGTCACTTGCCTTCTCAAAAATCTTTCTATTATCTCCTGGATAAAATCCATTTGCAACTGGCATTTCAAAGCCCTCCACCATAGAATTTCCATCAACCTTTCCAGCCTTATTTCCTATTACTCCTCTTCCTGTATTTGACATATCAGCTCCACTGGCTTGCTAGAAGTTTACTGTATGGGATGCTCTGTTTCCCTCTCTGTCCACAGGTGATCAGGTGATCATTTAGGAGTTGGGGCTGATACTTGGGTCTTCTGAATGAGTCTGGTGTTCCCCATCTTTTGTGTCCTGGCTACCTCTAGAAAAGGCACCTGACCCATGTTCCCTGAATCCTTATAATATCCCTGTGAGATAGGCAATATAAGTATTATTTATCTCCATTTCACAGGTAAGAAAGAGGAGGTGCAGAAAGGTGAACTGATGAGCCCAAGGTCACACAAGCTAATTAGCAGCAGAGCTAAAACCTGGCTCTCCACTATACTATCACACTGATTAATTCTCATGTATCCATCAGGTTCATAAAAACAGACAGAGAAAAACAGAGAGAGAGAGTGACAGAGAGGGAGGAATCTAATCACCCCTTTCCCCAAATCAGCATTTCCCACCAATACCTCTCCAACTGCTAACCCCAACTACATGTACAGCAAGATGAATAACAGAGATTTATCATTTAATAACCACTAGCATTCAACCATGTCACAGGGAAGATTTTTGTTTGGTGAACAATATGCCCCCTAATTGCCCTGCTCAGTCATTAACCAACAAGACTTCCTAGAGCAGAGCCTTCTCTCTGCCTTAGAACATGTTCCAAACTGGAAAGTACAAACGATACTCACCTAGCTCATAGGGTGAGAGAATGGGGCAGATGGAGCCCCAGGCTGGGAGCCAGAAGACCTGGGTTCCAGGCTTGGTTCTGCCACCTAAATCCCTTAGATGACCCTGGGCACATCCCCTAACCTCTAAGAGCCTCAGTGACGCCCATCTATAAAACAGGGATAACAACATGTCACTGACTAACAGAATGTCAGGTCGAGAAGGAGCCTCAGAGACCTTCTAGACCAGGGGTGGGAACCTGCGGCCTCCAGGCCACATGTAACCCTCTAGGTCCTCATGTGGCCTCGAGGACGCAGGTTCCCCACCCCTGGTCTAAACCAATCCCTTTAATTTACAGAGGAGGAAACTGAGGCCCAGAAAAAAAGGAAGAGATGGTATACGGACTCTACTCTCATGAGACAGACGTGAGAATGGTGTACGGATAGTTTAATTCAAAGACGTAGATGGTGTGGTTCTACTCACTAGCAGGCCATGTGATCTTGAGCTAAGTCATTCAATCTCTGATTTTACAACCATAAAAATGAGAGTCATTATAAATAACTACCTTACAGAGGTTTTCTGTTAGAATCAAATGAGGAGAAGATAATGTGAATTACACTCTAAACTTTAAAGCCCAAAGTAATAGCTACTATTAACATGATCATTATTACACAGAAAAAAATTTCACAGAGATATAAAGGAGACCTTTAAAACCTGTTTCTGGAAAGAATGTTTACTTTAAAGGTGCCCTATTAATCTCTCTCTCTCTCTCTCTCTCTCTCCCTCTCTCTTTCTGTCTTGTCTCCCCTCCTCTCCCCTCCCCATTAGACTATTATTAGTTCCTTGAGGCTAGGGACTCTTTTTACCTTTATATCCTGGTTGAAGCCAACAAGGTGTCATAGTGGATAGAGTGCTGGGCCTGGAGTCAAGAAGACTCATCTTCCTGAGTTCAAATCTAGCCTCAGACACTTAATAGCTGTGTGACACTGAGCAACTCACTTAACCTTGTTTGTCTCGGTTTCCTCATCTCTAAAATGAGCTGAAAAAGAAACGGCAAACCACTCTAGTATCTTTGCCAAGAAACCCTGAGAGGGGATCACAAAGAGTCAGATGTGACTAAACAACAACAAAACGTTTGTTGACTGACTGATAGCCTAGGGGCTGCACATACGTAATTTATATTAGCAATGTAAGCCCAGAGGGAGGCTTGTCCTGTGTACCCAATTTTTAAGAAAAAGAGGGACTAGGCTAAAACTGCAGCATGAGGGAACTGAGCCCGACTTTATGCTAGAGATTCCCACAGTGCATTATTAATACATGAGGCTCCAAACATTTCTAAGTAGAAGGCTCTCTCACTGGGGATGTCTGAGGCAAAGACTGGCAGACGGATATAATGATGTCTCATGAATGCCTCCTTCTCCTTCTCTCTCCCTTCCTCATTCAGGGTCAGAAGGTTTGTGACCCTGAGACTTTCATTCCCTGTCTTTCCCCTCTCTCCCTCCCTTCCACTCTCCTTTTGCTCCTTCCTGTGTCTGATTCTTCTCCTGCCACCTCCTGCTCCATTATCTCTTATCCAGTGGCATCTCTCCCTTCCTTTTGAAGCTCAGCTCAGGTATCATCTCCTCCAGGGAGTCTTCCCTGCACCTCTCCTCCCATGAGATCACTCTTCCTTCCCTAATTCCTCACCCACAGCACTGGGCCTGGATTTCTGCCTCTATCCCAATACTTCTAACTCATCATGTTTACTTCTGCACATGGTGCATTCTCCCCATTTGACTCGTTTTTCACCCTTGTATCCCAAGCCTACTGTCTAGGATGTAAGAAGCACCCAACAAAGGCTTGTTGAATTCAAAGACTGTTCTCTCCCACTTGGGCAAAGAGAGAATTTCTGTCACCAACAACTGAGAGGTTACTCTCTGAGTTTCAGTTTCCTCATCGGTTAAAAGTTATCATTCTCATGACTGAGAAACTGTCACTTGGGCAAAAAAGTAGCCCCTTAATCTTTCTCAGGGATTGGAAGTCTGATATTCACGTCTTAGTTTGGACTCTTAAATGGGACAAAGAAAAATGGCAGGTGGAGAAGGGGGAGGTAGAAGAGTGAAAGAAGGATTACCAAATAACTGATACTTGGAGGTGGCAGAACACATAAAACAGAAACACAGACAGTCTAAAATACTAACTTTGGGCTTCCCAATGCCTCTCCAGATCCGAATTAGAAGACCTATGTTTTCTTTGATCTCCAGATGCCACACGCCTTCCTACCTCTATGTGTGTTCCTCTAGCCTGGAATGCCCTACCCTTCAGTTCACTTTTCTGATCTGAATGCTACCTAGCCTTCAAAATCCAGCTCAAGGCCCTGTCTCCTCCAGGAATTCTGAGTATCTTATCCCAATCTAATTTCTCCTTTCTCTGACATCTAGTAGTCTTTAGAAGCTTGGGCCATACAACTCAGTGCTTCCTTATAAACTATTTTTTATCATTCACTGCCGTCCTAGGTGAGTGAGTCTCATCTGGCCAACCTGCTCCCTGTGGACAGGACCTAAGCCTGCCTTTCCTCAGCTTCTCCCAGACAGTGAGATCTCCCAAACAGGGGCCTAGGTCTGCTCTTCCAGTGCTGCCTCCCATATTTCACCTAGTTCAAATCCGCTATTATACAGCTGGGGAAATTGAGGCCCAAAGAAGGGAATGGATTTACCTTTGATCACAACAAAGCAAAGACTAAAGTCCAGCTCTCCTGACTCCAAGTTTGGGACTCTGCAGCTGAGGGCGAGAGTTTGGAGAAGAAAGGGGGTACCCAACCCAGCAAACTGATAGAGAGCAAACTCTCTATCCTTCCCGCCCTGAGCCAGCTCAGCTGAGCTTGCTGCCAGGGCCTCGATCCAAACCCTCCCCTCCCCCACACCGTGCATATGCTTCTGGCCAGGGCTGGTGCTGGGGGCGTTTGAGCTAGAGAATCTGCCAAACCACAGAACATGCTAAGGAGCGCACTCTGAGTCTTCCTTTTGACTCTCCTAGCATAACCCTGAGGGGCACAGGGAAGCCTGAAAAACCAGGTTCTAAAATCCCGCCAAATTCAGCTAGAAAGTCTAACCTGCCAACAGAAACCTGTGGCAGGAACAGAGTGAACCTCCACCTTCCTGAAGGGCCCACGCCTCCCCCCATATGAACACGTATTTCTCTCTGATGGACACCCAGACTTCCCCAAGGACTCCACAGGCCACTCACTGTGTCAAATCCTGACTAGTAGAAGGGAGAAGGGGGCACCGATAAAAATATACAGTCAATTTTTAAAAAAATCTTTTAATAGCCCCGCCCCCAGATTATCCAAAAATTGTTTACACAAGACTCTGGAATATAATCTGTGAGGAAGGCATGACAATTCAGACAACCTAACCCCTCAGAACCTGCCTACTAAGCTGGCTTTGCTGGTAGTACCTCTAAATGTGTCAAGGTGGCAGACACAGAGGTGAGAGGATTGCCCCCAAAGACAGGCAGGAAAAACTTTAAGACAGTCAACAGAGTGATAATCCAGCATTAAGATGTGCTTCCAAGGAAAGTAACCAAGCTACCACGTGAAGAACATGGAAATGGGGTCTTCAAAGGTTACTCTAGGGGGACACTGTTGGCTATCTTTAGAAGACCCAAAGGGACTCAGGAGTACCATGGTCACTCCTAAGTGACACCCCACCTGTACCCTGCCTTCTCAAGACCACCATATTTTCCACTTATGACTTGGTTCCACATGTAGGTTAGGCTACATTGAGTCCAAAAGTCACAAATTTAAAGATGGAGAGTTCATCTATTCATAGAATCCTTAACTTAGAGATGGAAGAAACCTTAGAGACCATCTAATCCAACTCTCTCATTTTGTAGAGGCTGAGAGACAAAGTGGTTAAGTGACTTACCTGAGGTCACACAGGTCAGGAAGCCCCAATGGTAGAAAATGTACTCAAGAGAAATAATGAGCACAAAAGGGTCAGCTTGTCAGAATCCAGGGAACCACTTACGTGCAACTGAGAAGTTGTTGAGGGGTGACTCCCGCTGGTCCACATCCTGTGGCCGCTCCTTGTAGCCAATGAAGCTCCCATCACTCTTCAGCAAGAAGTAGCGTGGCCGCCATGTTTTGATGTACTCTCCTAAAAGAACAGACAGAGACAGGGGGTGAAGACCTGGTGTCTTCAGTGTGCCTAGGTCTTGGACCCTAAGGGGCTAAACAGGTGGCATTGGATCAGTAATTTAAAGTACCAATAGATAGCACTTAGTCAAGACTCAGAATGGGAATAGGCCAATTGTACTCATGTCAGCTTTATGGCACATCTTATGTTAACTGTAGTTCTTTTGAGCAGATCAACTGCGGGTTCTGATGCAAGCATTTGTAACAGGATGGGTCCCTTTGGGTGGGAACTGGGAAAGCTGTTCTGGCCAATGTACATCCTGGCTAAGTGTGTGTTTGTAAACCAGCAAAATGATTTCTGTTTTGTTTTTATTGTGTGCCTCAGTGATTCAATCTCTTCAGATCCTGTCCTTGCATTTGGAGTCAGCTTGTACCTGGCCTTTTAAGACATCCAGAATTTGGTGACTGCCTCAGACCAAGCATCACCATGGTGGGGCTAATGACCTTCAGGGTACTTCAGTGACAGTGTAGGCATATGTACAACATATGTACAACTAGGATGTTAGGATTCAGTGGGGGACCTTAAAAACCATCTCGTCTTCTAATTGCCTCATTTTAGAGTTGGGTAAGCTGAGGCCCAGAGGACAAAAAGGGCTCCACTCCATGGGATTCAAACTTGGCTCTTCCAATTACAAATCAATTGCTCTTTCCATTATATCACAATGAAAAGACAAGTTGTAAGATGATCCACTATTTTTTCTGAAAAAATTATATTTATTGATATCATTTTAAGTAGTAGCTTATTTTTTCCAATTTCATGTAAAGATAATTTTTAAAATTCATTTTTATAAGGATATCATCTATTTTTATACCATCCAGATTTCCCCCATATCCCTTCTTTTTCCCCCTCTCCCAGAAAGCCATCCCTTATAGGCTTATAGAAAAGAAGAAAAAAAAATTCAGCATAACCAATAAAAACACAGACTAAATATGATACCCTATGCAATGTTTCACACGTGTGGACCCCAACCTCTGCAGAGGTGTAGAGGAGGACGTACCTTCTCCTTTTCCTTCTGAGACCAAATTTGGTCTTGATAATTTTACAACATTCACTTTTGATGATTAGACGGTAGTGGTTAGCCAGGTACCTAGCATACTGTTGGCACTTAATGCATACTGACTGCATGATTTGGAGTTATTGTTCTTTCCATTTACACTGCTGTAACCATTATGTATGTATACTGCTTTCTTGGCTCCGTTTCATTTTGGAATGGTTCACATAAGTCTCTCCATGGTTCTCCGCAATCATCCTTTTTGTCCTCTCTTACAGCACAATAATATTCCATTATATTCATGTACCACGATTTATTGAGCTATGGGCATCTGTTCTTGTTTTCAGGTGTCTAGGACCACAAAAAGTGTTGCTATAAACATTTTGGTATATGTGGATCCTTTTTTTTTTTTTCCTTTTTTGGTCAAAGACCTCACTAGGTAATAGTAGAATCTCTAGGTCAGAGGGAATGGACATTTTAGTCACCTTATCTGCATAACTCCAAACTGAACAATTCACAGCTCCACCAACAACGCAAGAGTTTGCCTATCTTTCCACAACTAGGTACAGGCTGACTATTCCAGTCTTTTGTCATGTTGGGAGTGAGGCAAAGCCTCAGTGCAGTTTTGGTTTGCATTTCTCTTATTATTAGTCATCTAGAGCATTCTTTCTTAGGTCAACTCACTTCCTAGAAGTTTTCTTCATTTTGTTCAGTTATTTCTATATTTCTATGCTATAATATTTCTGTGTTTCTATGCTATAATAGTTCTGTATTTCTATGGTTTGGTTATTTCTATATTTTTATGCTATAATAAAAATCCATGACCCCATTTGGGCTTTTCTTGGTAAGATACTGGAATGGTTCATCATTTCCTTCTCCAGCTCATTTTACAGGTGAGAAAACTGAGGCAAACACGTTAAGTGACTTGCCCAGGGTCACACAGCTAGTGTCTGAGGCTGGATTTCAACTCACAAACATGAGTCTTCCTAATTCCAAGCCCAGCGCTCTATCCACTATGCCACCTAGCATTTTACTCAGTCATGATAGGGTTCACTTGGTACATTTAAGTGTTTGTAAAGAAGCCTTAAGCCAATACAACTTCTCTAAGGCTTACTGAAAATGACAACTCATTTCCAATATGACAATGAAAGCTGATAGGAATCAGGATTCTGTTTACAAAAATGGGATTAACATGTTACATAAAGCAGTTACACCTGTTGGTTTCCTTTCTTCAAAAGGTTCTCTCCTTTAGGGAATGTATATGGCCACAACAGATACCCTATTATCAAACAGAAAGCCCTTGTTTGCCATCTAAACCTCTTTATAACCTGTCTTCTTCAGTCGTTTCAGTTGTGTCTGACTCTTCGGGCCCCTTTCTTTTGGGGTTTCTTGGCAAGGACACTAGAGAGGGTTGCCATTTCCCTCTCCAGCTCATTTTCCAGCTGAAGAAACTGAGACAAACAGGGTGAAGTGACTCGGCCAGGGTCACACAGCTAGTAAGTGTCTAAGGTCACATTTGAACCCAGGTTTTCCTGACTCCAGGCCAGGCATCCTATCCACTGCACCACGTAGCTGCCCTTCTTCCTACCTGTTCAGTCTCCCTGCACATCATTTCCTTCCATACACTCTGTGGTCTCACTTTACCAATCCATTTATTCTTTCTCCCACACAATGTTCCATCTCTCCTCTCTGGGTCTTTGTATTGTTTGTCTCTCAGGCCTAAGAACCCTCTCCCTAGAATCTTTGTCTTCCTTTAATACTGAGTTCAAAAGCCATTTTCTGTAGGAACCCTGTCCTCCCAGCTTCCCCTCTACATCGACCTTCCTTCTACTTCAGATGCATCTTATACACTCCTACTTATGTGGAACAGTGGATAGAGCCCAGGTCCTGGAGTTAGGAAGACCTGCAATCAAATCCCTCCTCAAATACACCCTAGCTGTGCAACCCTGGACACGTCATGTAACCTCTATCTGCCTTAGTTTCCTCATTTCCTCATCTGTGAAATGGGGATCATAACAGCACCCCCAGGGTTGTTATGAGGATCAAATGAGACAAAAGGCTTAATTATTAATATTAATTAATATTAATTAAATATTAATGCTAGCAATGATGATGCTTTCTTCCTTATTAGAACTTATTAGAACAGCCAGGTGGCACAGCGGATAGCGCTCTGGCCCTGGAGTCTAGATGAGCTCAGTTCAAACCCAGCCTCAGACACTTACTAGCTGTGTGACCCTGGGAAAGTCACTTAATCTCAATTGCCTCAGCAAAAAAAAAAAAAAAAACCCACAAAAAAAACAAAAAAAACCTTAAACTCCCTGAGAGTAGAAAATGTTTTTATTTTATTTGACTCCCCAGCGTTTAACATAAACAGAGTTTAACCAGCACATAATAACCACTTAACAGATGACTGTAGACTGATCAAGGAAGTATGAGATGGTCAGTAGTCTCACAGTATCAGAGATCTTCTAGTCCTTATATGGAAGACAGGGAAGCAGACTCAGGGAGGGGAAGGATAGGACTTGTTATGGTGACAAAGCAAGGTCATAATGGCAGATTCAGGGCTAGATCCCAGCTCCTCCAACTCCCAGCCAAGACTCTTTCCACCCCCACCCCACTTTACTACATAGAGCTAGAGGGGGAGAGGGATGTGGGAAGAGAAGGACAAACAAGTGCAGGAGAACCCAAAAGACTGGGGGAGAGTTGCTGAGAAGGTTTCAGGGCCCTTTCTACCCTTTGCAGTAAAGCCAGTTGGTCCAAAACTAATAGAGTGAGGAGTCAAACCCTGGTGTCTGTGTCCAAATCCATTTCCCCTTCCAAAAAAATATCATGGTCCATTCAATTCAACAAATACTTATTTAAACATCTACTCTGCCCAGGAATGATGCTGGGTCCTAAGAATATAATCCCTGCTCTCAAGGAGTTTGCACTCAACTGGGTAGACATATACACAAGTAAGTAAATACAAAATAATGTAAAGTTATACAAAGTCACTTCAAGAAGAGAATGTTAATAACTGGAAGGATGGGGGACAAATGGTACAGTCAGGAAAGGCCTCCTGTGGGAGGTGGTCCCTGAGCTATGCTTTGAAAGAAGTTAGAGATTGTCCTGGGGAAGGTAAGGTGGGAGAATATTGCCTCCTCACTCCACCAGCTTCCTGCTCTGCACATAACAGGGACTTAATAAATGGTCATGAACACAAATATGCAACTGAAAGATCACCAGTGTGTGGAATTTGGGGGAAGGCTGAGGCACAAAAATGTATAGGCAAGTAGGGCAGGAACAGGATGGGTTAATTACAGAAAGTTTACTAGTAGAAGTAGCCTTGCCCAAGGATGTGAGTCAGTATACAGAATGGGGTGTGGGGGGAGACCGAAGTATGCTGATAGGCTCTGATTTTTTGTTGTTGTTTTAGTTGTTTTCAGACATGTCAGACTCTTCATGACCCCATTTGGGGTTCTCCTGGCAGGGGTACTGAAGTGCTTTGCCATTTCCTTCTCCAACTCATTTTATGGATGAAGAAAACGGGGCAAACAGGGTTCAGTGACTTGCCCAGGGTCACACAGCTAAGTATCTGAGGCAGTATTTGAACTCAGGTCTTCTTGACGCAAGGCCTGACACTCTGTCCACTGTGCCAGGTCTGGTGTTTTAGCCCTTGGCATCTTTTTCTTCAACTGAGTACTTATTGATGTTCTGTTATGGGACAGAAGTGAGAAAAACCAACTAGAATCTGATGGAAACCATAAGGAGATATCAGTGAAAAAAAGATTACACAGGATTAAAGAAAGGATAGGTAGGAGCCTATGGAATAGAATTCTGCAGGGGAAACCCAAAATGGAAGGGTCTTTGACTGGACTTGGAGTCAAAAGGTGTAAATGCCACTTGTGAAACTTTGGGCAAGTTCAATACTCTCAGTTTCAGTGTCTCACTTTCTGCATCTATAAAATGGGAGGGGGGGAAGGAGGAAGAT